CTCGCCCTGACCCGCCCAAGCTCTCCAATCCGCTCCCAAATTTATCTACTTGGCTGTGTTGCTATCAATGGAGCTCATATTACATGCCAATCTTTCTGCTTTGCTTATGCTACGCCCCCGCCTGGCTACCCATTAGCGTCAGCTGTAGCCGGTTAGCTGCTTATCTTGGGGGCGTGGAGCTGCCCTCTGCCACGCCCCCGTGCCGGCAGTGTTCTAAACACTAGAGTGCTTGTTCTCGCTTCCCACTGGCTGTACTCTGCGAATCACCCACCATTTTCGTTCTTGTTATGGTGCTTGGTGGGCTTCGATTTGTTGCCCCAACTGAGGCTTGAGATTCAGGATAACAGCTGCAGCAATGACTGTTTTCTTTATCGTTTCTTGCAGGAAATTCTGATGCTAATTCGCAAGCTCGCGCTGTTCTTTCTTGGGCTGTCCTCTCAATAAACTGATTAAGGAAGCCTGGTCCATGAGGTGTGATTCCTGCGTGGATTCACCCTTACTCGAATGGCGTGGTCAGTGTAAGGAGGAGGAGGGGGTTTGTGTCCCTCGTCTATGCGCCGTGCAGTGCCGGGGTGTCTGCGTCGAGCCCTTTTGAACAGACATCGACCCCTGGATCCACGCCTCTCTTCTCTGGCCTGTTGCGCCAAGAGCTTGGATGATGAGGAGGAGGAACCCAGTCAGCGCTCTGTTGGCAATGAGGATAGACGCCAGTATTTTCATCCTGTGATCACACGAGCAATCCGGACATCGAGCTGGGATGATGCCAGGAAGATCAGCTTCAGGGAGTGTGTCAGGGTGTATGGGCTACCCCGGTCGATCGGGCTGTTTGCGTTGCTTATGCAGTCGTTCTTGCCACGGAGGATTAGAGAGGTCCGGTGCCTGATTCAGAGCGTCGTCGACCACTTTGGGAATGCCGGGCCTGAGTTGTTTGAGTTGGCGTTCTTGTTGGCTAGCAATTTGGGTGGGTCGATGACGTTGGTACAGGTTTATGCCACAATCATCCGGGTTTTTGTAGAGCTGTCGATGTTTGAGGATGCTCTCCTCACTTATGTCGAGGCCAAGAAGGTTGGAGTTGACTTGCAGGTATGCAACTTCTTGCTGAAGCGCTTAGTTGAGGGGAATCAGATCATGTATGCAAGGAGTTTGTTTCAAGATATGAAGAGTTCTGGTCCTTCACCAAATGTCTACTCTTATTCAGTTCTGATGAGTATGTATACACATGGAGATAAGTTATGCCTGGAGGAAGTTCTAGAGCTTCTTTCTGAAATGGAAACGGAAGGTGTGAGGCCAAATGCTGCAACCTATGGCACTTACCTCTATGGGCTTTGCCGTGCCAAACAGGTGAAATCTGCATGGAACTTCCTTCAAATGCTGTGTCAGAGAGGCTACCCTTGCAACAGCTATTGTTTTAATGCAGTTATTCATGGTTTCTGCCATGACGGTCAGGTTCACAAGGCCATAGAAGTGTTTGATGGGATGAAGAAGTGCGGGTTTGTCCCAGATGTTCACAGCTACAGCATATTAGTTGATGGCTTATGCAAACAAGGGGATCTGTTGACAGGCTATTACATGCTTGTTGAAATGGCAAGGAATGGAATCACTCCTAATCTGGTGAGTTATAGTTCGCTTTTGCATGGTCTTTGCAGAGCTGGAAGGGTTGAATTGGCGTTTGAGCTTTTTAAGAGGCTGAAAGATCAAGGATTCAAGCATGACCACATAGTTTACAGCATCGTTCTTCATGGTTGTTGTCAACATCTAGATCTAGAGATTTGCTACGACCTTTGGAATGACATGGTTCGTCATAATTTTGTTCCAGATGCTTACAATTACAGTAGTCTGATATATGCATACTGTAGGCATAGGCAACTGAAAGAAGCATTGGAGGTGTTTGAGCTCATGGTCAGTGATGGGATATGCCCCAACATCGTGACCTGCACAATTCTTGTTCACGGCTTCAGCAACGAAGGGCTGATTGGTGAGGCCTTCCTGTTCCTGGATAAAGTACGCCAGTTTGGGGTTGTCCCCAACCTCTGTACATACAGAGTTATCATCAATGGCCTGTGCAAGGTCAATAAACCTAATGACGTGTGGGGTATTTTCGCAGACATGATAAAAAGGGGCTATGTTCCTGATACTGTGCTTTACAGTATTATTATCGATGGTTTTGTGAAGGCTTTGGATCTGCAGGAGGCTTTCAGGTTGTATTATAAAATGGTCGATGAGGGGACAAAGCCTAATATCTTTACATATACCAGCCTCATAAATGGTCTGTGCCATGATGATAAACTTCCTGGAGCTATGACATTGCTTAAGCATATGATTGGGGAGGGGCTGACACCAGACAGAATTCTGTATACGTCTCTGATTGCATGCTATTGTAAGCGCTCAAACATGAAGGCCGCTCTGGAAATCTTTAGAGAGATGGAAACAGAGGGTTTGTCAGCAGATTCTTTTGTCTACACTTGTTTAATTGGTGGCTTCAGTAAAGTGCTTGCGATGGATGGCGCACAGTTGTTTATGGAAGAAATGATAAACAAGGGGCTTACACCTACTGTAGTAACTTATACAGACCTCATAATTGGATACTTCAAAATTGGAGATGAGAAAAAAGCTATGGCGATGTACAACAGTATGCTGCAGGCAGGCATTACGCCGGATGCCAAGCTGAGCTGTATATTGGGCCTTGGTAATGATGGGGATGATTTTGGTGATTCTCAGGAAGATAAGGATGTATCATAGTCATAGGTTATCACAGAGCTACAGTAACTTGGTCAACAGAATTATTCCATAAGGTGATGAGCCTCATGGTATTGTTGCATCAAGTATTAGTTCGATCTGTTCCCTTTGCTTCCGCCACTGCCATCATCTGGACAAGGGAGGGAAGAAACAGGTCAAAATTTTCACGTTGATGATGTCATCCTATTCAATACCTGGATGGTGTGATAGATAATTACAGGTTAGATATTGGCTCATGCAAACAATCAAGTAGGATATTAGGACTGCCAACTGCATATAAAAATGCACATTTTGAGTCAGATTTATCTTATTAGGGCCTCTTTTTCTGCTAGGCAACAAGTTTATGATTGATTTTGACAATTTTCTGTGCAAGGCTAGGTGTTCAGCTGGAAAAACCAAAGCTATTTTTTGTACTGTTGGAAGATACTCCTCAAGTTAGATGAAGAGGCAGGGCATCAATTTATCGCATGCTAGATATTGTAAAAATACGACAACCTAAATCTGATTTGTATCGTTAGATGTTATTCTTAGTTTTGCTCTGCTTTTGTTTCAAAAATATGCATGATGTAAGCTGCCCTGGACTTTATTGCACTGATCATTCTGTTATGAACTTCACATAAATTCTAATGATTGTTTAGAAGTACATTCTGCTGCCGAAAAGTCCCAACATTTTTCTTATAGGGGAATAGCTTTCTGCTTGACCTTTTTGTGGTGCCTTTATTACTAGATTAGTCTGATGTTATAAATAATCAATTTCCTTCTCTCATATTTCAGGTGAAATGATATCAGGGTGCAAACAAAAGCTTCTTTCGCGTGAAACAAGCTTTTTGGGTCAGCAGACTTTCAGTCATGTAGCTTTTTGACTGCGGATGCTGAAAGTTCAGTTAGTATGCAGGTTTCAGAATGTGAAGATGACGAGACAGGTCTTGCTGTTTATCTGTCTCCATTTAGCATCATCTGCACTGTTTAGGTGTACACTCACTTGTACATATTCAACAATGGAACTTCTTTCAGTGCATCTAAAGAAACATTTGGTGCCGCAGATAACTGTTGATCAAGCTTCAGATACCACCCTTCTGTTGAAATGCTTCAGCCCGTGGATGGATTGATTAATGCAAGTAACCAGGAGAGAAGAGGCGTTAGCTGGGGCTATCCATGTCGGGTCGCTCATGAGGAGAAGACGAAGGGAAGATTAGCAAGGAAGCTTCATCCTGCTCCCAAACCAAGGAAGCCACACCCACACCAACACATACAAACATTTTTCCTCCCCACCCATGCAACCTGCTCGTCTCTCGCTCAACGAGGACCGTGGTTGCCACTTGTCACGCCACTGTTTCCTAGCACCCTCAACGACCAGGGAAGCAGCCGGGTGGAGACAGGGGCATTCTCCTTTTTATCCGCAGCTTCCGCCTCCTGCATTATAGGTGCTGCTGTCGACGCTGCTCCTTCTCTTCCCCTCAGGAGGTGAGTCCTAACTTCTCTCCATTTCCCTTCTTTGCTTAATCCTCCTTGTAACATGGATGTAGTCAGTACTTGTTTTGTCTATGTATGTAAATATGATTACTGTGATTAGAGTCAATTGAGTAATTTCTGGAACGGCTGGAATATATAATCATATCTGTTTTGTGCTCATGAGGTGCTTACACAAAGGTGTGGAAGATTTATTGATGGCAACCGAATATATTTGTGTGCTTCTGCCCCTTCTCAAATTTCCAGAGTGCCAACCTTTCCTGGCTTGTTCATAACATTTATGTGCATTGCTACCATTTGACATGCTCCTCCTCCTTGCAGGTATGGAGAAATGGTGATACTGTTCGCATATCAAATTGGTACTCAACTAGACAAACCCGAGGTCCAACCAAGCTAGCAATAATCAGTGGCCATTTCTTTGAATAAGCAAATTATCTGAATCTCTTTATCGTTTCTTTATTGATATACTCGGATTTTCGTAATCTTCATTTTGACAACTATGGTATGGGTGGAGTGGAGATAGTACAGTTCGTAGAGACCTAGTGTTCTTCAAATGTCCAGTGTCTTTCCCTGGCGGGCATCGCTCTTTCATTCAATTGGCATTTTGTACAAAAATAACACATGGCCTGTTAACTGCTCATGCAACTTTTTTGCTTGCGGTTTCGGTAGCAATGTTTGCTTGCCTATTTCACTTTGCTTTATTACGAAATGTGTTTTGAGGCGTTCATTACAACATCAGCAATTGCCCGATGGCACGAATATGATTCCACTGAGATATTGCGAGTGTCGTTGGCGGCTAATTATCAGCGGGGTAAAAAAGTGAACGCCATAAATCAAAAGCCATCCAATGGATAAGTAGCTCATGAAAGGCTATGAAGCCAATCAATCATCGTCCCTCATGGACTCACATGCAGCTAGCTTACCTGGGGTTCTGATTCTGGTTGTTCTTTTTAACGGTTTTGGGAACCGTCTAGAATGTTCTTTCGTTTTTTCCCTTTATTTATTAATATACATTTTTTAAGTTCACAATTTTAATTTTTGGCCAAAATTTTCGAAACAAAAAAAATCATGTTTTTGAGAAATGTTTATAAATTTCTAAACAATGTTCACAAATTTTATAAAAATTGTTCACAGAAGTTCTAGCATGTTCATGTCTTTCCATAAATTTTTCTCAAAATTTTTAAGTTTCCAACTTGTCTATGAAATGGTAATTTTTCTTAAATAAAGAAGACTTGTGTTTTTTGAAAACCAAAAAAAAAGACTGAAATTAGAAAAACGAAAAGAAAAAAAGACGCACGCAGAAATTTGGGAATGCTCCAGAGTAACCTGAAGCTGAGATTGGCTGGCCCACCACACGCCCCTGTGTGCTATTGGGCTGACTTTTCACACGTGATGCTATGTATCGCTTAAAGCGAGCAAAAACAGTTAGCCTCCTCCTTGATCGACCTGGCCATCACAGTGAAAACGGGCAAGCGATCTGCCAGCGCAAGTCATCTTCGCCGGAGCGCTGGTTATATAGTAACAAATAACAGAAAACATATTCATAATTTTTTATTTGAGTTGACTTATATACGAATATTAAAATCTTTGTGAATTCACAAATATTTGCATTTCAAAATGATCATGAATTTAAAATTTGTCTACGAAATATAAAAGACAATTAAAAGAAATTCATAATTTAGAAATCTTTGAGAATACATGAAATATTCACCGTTCTACAAATATTTACACAATGCAAAATGTGCACGAGTTTAAAAAAATGTTCATGAAATTGAATAATGTTCATGAATTATTGAGTTTCATGAGTAATTGAAAACTTGTTTGCGAGCTCAAAAAAGTTAAGCAATAAAGATGAATTTAAAAATGTTCAAAAAAATACCTATATTGTTTGCATAGTTGAAAAATGTTTTCCAATTTGATTTTTTTTCATAAAATCTCAAAAATGTTAATGGAAGTAAAAAATGTCGGTTAAATCGTCGACAAAGGATACTAAGTGGATGGTGGGTGGGCGGCGAATTTCTTCGTCATCCGCATCCCATTCTAGCCGGACATAGTTCGGCCAAGGATCTCCTGATAAGGAGAGAGGCCTTAATGAATTTAGCACGTCGCCGAAAGGTGAGTGCTGAAAGATATCTGCGGAGGTGAACTCCATGATCGACGCCCAATCGGATTTGATAGGCACGGACGCAGGCAGCTCGGAGTCCGTGGCCGGAGACGAATCCAGTGGTTCGGCAACACGGCTCTCGTAAGGGGTGAAGTTAGTATCCGACTCCATCGCCACTGAGAGTGCGGCTTCCATGGCGAGGTCTATCCCCCCGTCCTCGGATGGCGTAATTTGCTCCGGATTGAGGGCCGGAGTAGTTGCAGGTGTGATCTCCCGAACACTGTCCGACGGCAGAGTTACGGCATGATCGTCGCGATTGTGCAGCGCACCTGACATGGGCTCGAATCCGTCGAAGATCAAGTCTTCGCGGATGTCGGCAGTGTAGTTTAAGTTTCTGAACCTGACCTGATGGCCAGGGGCGTAGCTCTCGATCTGCTCCAAATGGCGAAGCGAGTTGGCCCGCAGTGCGAAGCCACCGAATACGAAGATCTGTCCGGGGAGGAAAACCTCACCCTGGACCGCAATGTTATCGATGATCGAAGGAGCCATCAAGCCTTACGGTGACGGCACAGTGAAACTCTCAATAAAAACACCAATGTCGGTGTCAAAACCGGCGGATCTCGGATAGGGGGTCCCGAACTGTGCATCTAAGGCGGATGGTAACAACAGGCGGGGGACACGATGTTTACTCAGGTTCGGGCCCTCTCGATGGAGGTAATACCCTACTTCCTGCTTGATTGATCTTGATGATATGAGTATTACAAGAGTTGATCTACCACGAGATCGTAAAGGCTAAACCCTAGAAGGTAGCTTATGGTATGATTGTTGTTGTCCTACGAACATAGGGAGTTTTGAAATTCAGACAGTGTCAATGCGACCCCAGAATTTAGCCCTCCAAGAGAAAAAAGTATGCTAGAGTACGTCCTCCTTGCAGCCGCCGCCTCCCCTAACAAAGCCTAGGGTTCCTCTGCCTTCCGCCAGTCTAACTTGTCTCCGGTGGCCCTAGGGCCGTGTCGGCGCGGTGGATCCCGGCCCTTGCTGGTGGAAGCGGTCTATTTTTAGATGTTTCTTCAAATTTTGTTAGTATGTCCTGCTCAGGAAGACGAGACGGCGACGGCTCCTTGAAGATGGAATAAGGTTTCCTAGCCCCCATCCCGGTGGTGCGCCTAGCATTGTCGGTGGGTGTGCAGAGGTGTGCCTCTGGCGGATATGTTCTTGGAGGATTTTCTCAGATCTAGTCGTAGTTCATCTACATTCGTGTGTCTTCAGGTTGGATCATTTCGATCTACGGTACTCTTCAATGGTGATGGTGGATGTTCTGTTGCGCTGGTCCTATACGACCTTAGCACGACGATTTTTCTGACTATCTACTAGAACAAGTTTTGCCCGGTTCCATGAGGGAGGCGTGATGACGGCGGCACGACTTCGG